CAAAGCCAGCCCAGGCAGGAGAGACCGTGAGACTCCTATCTCCAATAAACCACCAGAAAACCAGAAGTGGCGCTGTAGCTCAAGTGGTAGAGCACTCGCCTTGAGAGCTGAGGGACTTTTGTCTCCAATAAACCACTCATAAAACTGGAAGTGGCGCTGTAGCTCAAGTGGTAGAGCACTCGCCTTGAGCTGAAGAGCTGAGGGACAGCGCCCAGGCCCAGAGTTCAGGCCCCACGACCGGACCCAAAAGAATATAGGTGAAAAAGTTCTCACCCTTTCTCAAAGTGAGATGTGTAGGCCCAGTCATTGCTTTGCCATAATAGGCCATATAACTCCTTAAACTTAGTCTCACTGAATCTTGTTACCTTAAAGGAAAATTACAAATTTACCTCAGATGACACAGACATTGGGAGGAAATAGAGTGGTTGGTTGCTATAAACTAACACCAGTGAATGAGGAAATGCGTACATTTTTTTTTACATTTTTAACCCTTTTTAATAGTACTATTTTCTTTTTATCTATATACCTACCTAGATGCCTTTTTACCTATATACCTTTGCTTTTTACCTATATCAGGATTTTAATAATTTATTCCGATAGAAACCTTCACAGAAATTACCAGACTGGAAGTGTATGTATACTTTAGCTTCACATTTTGTATGCTGATCATTGGCTAGGTGTCCTGTCCATCCCCTTCCTTGCCACTGCCATTATTCATTATATTGTCACACATTAATTGTGATTATCATGGCATACTATTTGGAACAAATGTATGGTTTGTCATATTAGTTTAAACTTTAAAATGAAAGACTTGGGCGGACATCAGTGGCTCACACCTATAATCCTAGATACCTAGGAGGCTGAGATCTGAGGATCATAGTTTGAAGCCAGCTCAGGCAGGACAATCAATGAGTCTATGAGTGGTAGAGCACTAGCTTTGAGCATAAAAAAAGACTTATTTTTAACCTTTATTGTTTATACCTGTTATAAACCCCTCACATTTTGCTCAATAACTGAATCTGACAAATATTTTATCAATTGATCAGGAGATGTTTTGTGATGTTCTAGATGCTGGATGAATAGGAGTGAGCACAGCGAAGTCTCCAATGTCACACTGCTCATGTTGTAGTAGGAAGTGACTGAATATGTAATATATGTTAGCCAGTGAGTGTCTGGCATTTAATGGGAGGAGGTGCTTGGTGTGAGGTAGGCAGAAAGGCTTACAGAGATGTATGAGCGGGGTTCTGAAGGAGGAAGATGGAGTGAGCTATTCAGATATCTGGAGGACAAGTGGTCCAGGCTAAGAGAAATTGTGCAAAGCTCCTAAGGTGGCTACTTAATTGGCAGTTTTGAGGACCAGTGAAGGGGCCCACATGACAGTTACCAAGTGTGTCAGAGGACAGGCTAAGAGACTGGTTTGGCATATTATAGCAGGGGATCAGGACTCATAATCCACAATAAAGGCTCTGGCTTTTACTCAAATGTGGTCTTGAACCATGGGGGCAGGTCTCAGTTCTCCATTCTTCAGCTGACAGGATGAACAACTGGGGAGGCTATCCCTGTAGTTTTGAGGGGAAAAAGTGCTGAAAAGGACCAAGGTAGTATGAAGATGGAGGGCAGTGTAGGATGCCGGATGGATTTTTTTTTTTCAATGCCAGTATTGGGGTTTGAACTCAGGGCCTAGATAGTGTCCTTTTAGCTTTTTTGCTTAATTCTAGCATTCTACCACTTGAGCTAAAATGCTCCTTCTGGCTTGGTTTGGGTGGTTACTTGGAGATAAGAGTTTCACAGACTTTCTTCCCCAGGCTGACTTCAAAGCAGGATCCTCTGATCTCAGCCTCCTGAGTAGGATTATAGGTGTGATCCACTGATGCCTGGCCCTGGAGGGATTTCCTGGTGAGCTACAATAGGCTAGACAAGAGAAAGAAGTAAAAGATGGTTCCAGGGTTTTTCATCTGAACATCTCAAAATGGAGCTGTCAGAGATTAATGTGAGAATACCGGGGTAGCATAGGTGTGGGGGTCAAGGAGGGAAGGACTTAGGAGGATGGTGAACTTGTAGAGTGCCTTCATTCAACACATAAAGTGCTAGATCTGTGCATAACCAGTTCAAAGGTCATGACTCTGAGGACGAAGTAATTCTGTCCTCTTTCCAGATGAGAAAATTGAGATTCAGGAAACCTGAGAGTCATCCAAACAGATACAGTTGGTCAGAGTTAGCTTTTGTGTTGAGATAAGGGCTTCCCGAGAGGTCCTGTATGTTCTACCTTCCCAGTTTGTGACAACACAGTGACCTAAAAGCAGACAAACGGGGACAGACTTACAAAGTCCTGCAGTCTCACTTGAATAACCTCTGGCCTTTCCCACAGGTTTTCCCAAGTTGCTTCAACTTTACTCTGCTCCAGGCAGCCTCTTTGCCCCCCTCATGTTTGGCTCTAAGCACCACTTTAGACAGTACCTTTTACCTTGTCACGGTTTTTAGAGATTGTGTGCCTTTTGAACACTCTTGTAGCTTCTGGTGACTGAAAAGTGGTTTAAACAGACATAAGAAGGAGCATGTGTTTGTACTGTCACATTTGTTTGCAAATCTAATTTTTATGGATGGATGTTATACACACAGGGAGGAATTTCAGTGTCATATTTCCATGCATACATATACAGTGCTTTGATTATATTCACCCCTTCTATTCTTCTTATTCTGTGTTTTTCATTTTAAACATTTTTTGGAGTAATACTAGAGTTTGAACTCAGGGCCTTGCGCTTCCTAGGCAAGAGTTTTATGTGTGAGCCAGCTGCAGCCTCTAAATAGCAGGTAATAGTCTCTTGCTTTAAATTGTAGCAAAATAAGGAATTAAAGAGATAAATTGAAACCACTATTGTTGTCTTGGAAGTAGAGCCCAGCCCCTTTAAGACTGACAATGATACTTGAGAGGGAGGCTAATTTGTACTGCTTAGGACTACCAGGAGCTTGTAAGTTACATAACCAGGGAGAAACAAGCTATGAAAAATCTTGTGTGTGTGCACATGTGCTCATGTGTATGCCAGTATGTGGGCCAGAACTCAAGGCATCAAATGCTAGACCACACCCCCACTGTCTCATTTTGCTGGTTTATTGGAGATGGTGTCTCAAAGACTTTTGGGTCTGAACTGGCTTTGAATGGCAGTCTTCAGGATCTCAGCCTCCTGAGTAGCACCTGGCTTAGTCTATAGAAAATCTTGCATATGAGAATAAGAAATGTGAAGGAATTGGATATCCTGTGAATAGGGCCAGAGTAACTTAGGTGGGTTATGTATGTGTCTTAGATGATTATACATAGCATGAAATGAGTATTTAACAGATTAAGTAAAAGAAGTTCCGTAATTTGATTCATTTGAAAATCTAGAATGTCTTTTTCTTTCTTTTTTTTTGTGCTATTCCCTAAGCTCCTTTTGCTCATGTCTAACACTTTTACCATTTCAGCCACAGGACCACTTCTGGCTTTTTCTGTGATCAATTAGAGATAAGAGTCTTGCAGACTTTCCTGCTCAGGCTGGCTTTGAACTGCAATCCTCTGATCTCAGCCTGCTCAGTAGCTAGGATTACAGGCATAAGTCACCAGTGCCTGGCCTAGAAGGGAGACTGGGCACCTGTGGGAAGATTGTCATTTCAGGCCAGCCATGCGAAGAAGTGAATGAGAACCCCTTAACAAATAAGCTGGGCATGGTGGGTTAAAACTTCAATTTTAGATACATGAGTAGTTTAAGAAGGAGGGTCATGGACAGAAGCCAGCTGGTACAAGGTTGGGGTAGTGAAAGACCCTCCCTGAAAAATAACTAAAGCAAAAAAGACTAGGAATGTGGCGAAGTGTTAAGAGTACATGCATAGCAAGTATGAAACCCGAGTTCAAAATCCAGTACCAAAAGAGTACTGGTTAGGTATTGTTCCTGCATGATGTAGGCTTTCACTTAACATTTGATAAAATTTCATGAACACTATCCTATGATTCATAGTTATGCCTGAAAATCTTGCTAAATTTAAGCATTGTTTTCCCTGTTGTCTTTAAAAAGCATCTAAGATGACATGCTTTATAGTAATAATATTTAATGTCCTAAAGTAGTCCCAATATATGCTCTTGTATAGTAAGTAGTGATTTAACTTTTGTTCTTTTCATAATTGGCTTTTTTTTTCTCTTTTTGAGCTAGTCCTGGGGCTTGAACCTGGGCCTGGGCGCTGATCCTGAGTTGTGTTCAAGGCTAGAGTTCTACCACTTGAGCCACTTATGGCTTTTTGGTGGTTAGTTGGAGAGAGGAGTTTCATGGACTTCCTGCTGGGCTGGCTTTGAAACATGATCCTCACATTTCAGCATCCTGAGTTGCTAGGATTACATTCATACATGGAGCTCTATGGGCCTGATTATAATAGTTAATATACATTAACATAGGGTCTTCAAGAACTAAACTTCATAAGTGGATGACCTGTCACCATTGTCTGTTTTTAAATCTGAATCCAAGCAAAGGTCTCCTAATGAATGGATTAGCAACCACATGCTTCTTTTATTTAACTGATGGTGCATATAATGAATGCTCAATATTATTAAAATCACTGATTACAGTCAGGGACTGTAGCTTGGTGATAGGGTCTTTGTAGAGCACACACCAATCCTTGGCACCAAGAAAAATTTATATACTAAATAAAAATTTTTGCTGATTTTATGTTCAGTACATGATAAAAATGCTATTCTTGCTGGGCACTGGTGGCTTATGTCTGTACCCTAGCTACTCAGGAAGCTGAGAGGGTTGAGGTTCAAAACCAGCCCTGGCAAGAAAGTCTGTGAGGCTCTTATCTCTACTAAACTACCAAAAACCTGGAAGTGGAGCTGTGGCTCAAGTGGTAAGCACTAGCCTTGAGCACAAAAGCTTAGGGACAGTGCCCAGGCCTGGAGTTTAAAACCCACACACACAAATACAAATGCTATCCTTCCTTTTGTGTTGTCTAACCTGTATATTCATTTTCTATTTCAGCAGCTTCCCAGCCCAGTGTGCCTGTACCGCAGAGAGGACTACACCTTTTCCAGGCTACTACAGGGCTCCCATAACAATTTGCAAACAGCATCTTACTGAATCCACTCTTGTACAGAGCTGCAGGTATGATAGTATATTGATAATGGTATCCTCCAGAGTGACATTCATAATCACATTTAGTAATGACACATAAACCCAATGTCTTTTAGTTTTTTGGGGCTCTAAAAATGTCCTTTTTTCCCTCCTGGTACTTGGGGCTGAATTCAGGGTCACACCTCCAGCCTTCTGTTTGGATTTCTTGGGAACATATACTTCATTTACAAATGAATCCCAGCAGATACTCCCACTGTGGCCCTGAGGAACTCCTTCAATATATCTAACCTAGTGAGGGGCATATTCCTGTATTCCTAGTGCTTGGAGGTTGAGGCATGAAGATTGTGACTTTGTAGCAAGCCTGGGCTACCTAGCAAGATTCAAAAATGGAAAGAAAAGCATCTTCAACTCTAAAAGCTTTGGTAACCTTGTCTTGTGCCTCCTGTAGTCTGAGACCAGTTACACTGACTTTTGGTTGCTGGTGGGATTCTGATGGAGGAAATTACCCCTCATGGCTACGTGCCATATGTTTGACAACAGCAATGGTTGTACTGAAAAAAGTTCTCCCTACCCAGCTGCCTCCTGTGCTTTGTCGTAGGTACTCCATAATGGCTATGGAGGCCTGTCTAGCCTGGTATGGAGCCATACTTGGAGCTTCTGGTCTACTGCAGCTGCAGGAGAGAGTGTCTTCCTATTTTCGGTCACTTGGCAGGTGCTAGGGTACTGGAGGAGGTCACCCCTCTGCTGAGGGCCACAGAAGCCCTTTTTGATTAGCTAAGAGACCAACAATAGTTCCTGGACTATGTGAATGAGAACTAATATACATGGTGGTCAGAGTGCCAATTATATGGAGTGTTGATGGTTTCATCCTTTAGGACTTTGACATAGGGAGCAAAACTTATTGTATACCTCAAGCAACACAGTGTCACCTCTCTTCATTTATTACAAAACATTGTCATTGCCTAATAATGCCTCCTTAAGTACACAAAGCAAAAACAAGAAAAAGTACTCTTGGAATCTTTTTTTTTTTGTCGGTCGTGGGGCTTGAACTCTGGGCCTGGGCGCTGTCCCTCAGCTCTTCAGCTCAAGGCGAGCGCTCTACCATTTGAGCTACAGCGCCACTTCTGGTTTTCTGGTGGTTTATTGGAGATAGGAGTCTCACGGTCTTTCCTGCCCGGGCTGGCTTTGAACTGCGATCCTCAGATCTCAGCCTCCTGAGTAGCTAGGATTACAGGCGTGAGCCACCAGCACCCAGCTACTCTTGGACTCTTACCTCACAGCCAAAATAAAATAAAGACTACATAAGCCTCTGTATAAAGACTAAAGCCCCAATATTAGGCACGACCAGAACACCTCCTTTCTCCTTGAGTATACTGATGTTACTACTAACTAAGTTGTGATATTTCCATTGGGACTATCGGTTGCCTAAACTCATGAGCACAACCCCTTAGGGATTTTTTCCTTTACCCATTCTATAGCTACTGTTGTGAAAGAAATCCTACCCTGATGTGCAGTTGGTACATTGGAGATGCCCAGAGTTCTGCATCCTCTGGGGTCCATTTTCCCTCTATTGAAAATGTACTATTTCTCTTATCACTAGGACATATCACACATTGGCAGCCTTTGTCCAATCAAGTCAACTCATAGTGGTCAACAGCTTTCTAAGTCTCTTTTAGTTTAGGTACTTGCTGGCAGCATGTCCTTTATGCAGCAGACTTGAGTCCACTTCACAAATGGACTGGAAGCTGGGTATGGTGGTTCATATCTATAATCGCAATTACTTTGTGAGGCTGAGTTGGAGGGGATTGCAGTTTGAGGCTAGCCTGGTAAAAAGTTGACCAGACCCCCTTTCAATCAATAGATGGAAGCAGGAGTGCATGCCTGTGATCCCAGCCCAACATTATCGTTTAAGTCAGACCAGGTAAAAAATGTTTGCAAGACTCCATGTTGGTGAAAGAATATAGGCTTGGTGGTGCAGGCCTGTCATCCTGGCTGTGGCAGGAAGCATAAATATAAGGATCGTGGTCTAGGTGAGGAAATGAGCAACAAGCAAGACTATTCCAGAACAATTAATATATAGAAGGGCTGGAGGTGTGGTATGGTATAGATTGCTTGCCTAGCAAGCATGAGCCCTGAGTTCAAACCCCAACACAGAGAGAGAGAGACAGAGAAAGAGAGAACCACAAACAAAACTAGGTAACTGGTTCTTTGACTGAATGTTAGCAGAGAAGGAGGGTTCTGTGCGGCTTAGTGTACCTCCTGCTCTATGTACCTATCCAGGTGTAGTACAAAGTATAAAGAATATAAGCTGTGAGGTAAAGAGCTGCCATAACATAATGGGCATTAAAAGATTCCCTTTAATTTCAGAGATGCTGAATATATTTTCCTGGTTATTTTTGACAAAGGGGTTACCTGGTTGTGGACTGAGTTCCAAATTGTTGTCATATATCTAATACTTTTGTGTTGTCTTTGTTTTTGTGACAGGGTATTATTATGTACAGAGCTCAGGCTAGCCTCAGAATCCCAATCCTTCTTCTTCAGGCACCTGAGTGCTGGAATTCCAAGTGTGAGCCACCATACCTGGCTTTTGAGTGTCATTCTTTCCGTTTGTCATCTTGTCTGGTGGCTAGTCTCTCTCACTCAGTGTGTGTTGTGTTTTGTGTGTGTGTATGTATGTGTGTGTGAGAGAGAGAGAGAGAGAGGAGAAAGAGAGAGAGAGAGAGAGAGAGACTGTGTGTGTGGTGTGTGGTGTGTGGTGAGAAGCTAGTATCACAGGCATGAGCCACTGCCGTCCAACTCACTCAGTTTCAACATGTACACAATCTAAGTCACGAATGGTATACATCCCAATCCATTTTTTAATGAATGTTAAAGCATCACAGAATAGAATATGTTAGAATGTTAAAAAAATTTCTTGATCTCTTAACTTTCCTACAAATAGATGGGGAGCTGTACTTGGGCAACTAAATAGATCAGTATATTAAGATGATCCTGGCTGCATGTCTTCCTTTTGGTCCTCCTTGACTGACTCACTAGTGAATATATAGTTCTAAAAAAGATCCCAACATATCCTCACTTTATTCCTTGGGTCCCCATCTGCCTGACAGGATAGATAAGAGTTGATTAAACTCAAACTTGGCACTGCTTCTCTGTCAATGTGAGGGGAGGACAGATTTTTTTTTTGAGAGTACTGCAGTTTGAACCTGGGATCTCAACTTTACAACTTGAGCCTTGCCTCGCCCATCCCTTTTTGCTTTAGTTATTTTTGGGTAGCGTGCCCACTTCTTGCCCAGACCAGCTTGGACCTTGATCCTTCTATTTACACTTCCCTTTATTCACCTCCCTTGTAGCTGGGATAACAGTTACATGTCACCAGCTGTTGGTTGAGATAGGAGAGGTTCTCTGTAACTTTTTATCTGGCTGGCCTCAAAGTGACATCCTCCTGATTTCCTAGGATTTTCTTTGTGTTTTGGGGAGTACTGGAGTTGGAATGGGATTCCCCCCCCTTTTTTTTTGGTGGTTGTGGTGCTTAAACTCAGTGTCTGGGTGCTGTCCCTGAGCTTTTTTTGCTTAAAGTTAGTACTCTACCACTTTGAGCCACTTCTGGTTTTCTGGGTTAATTGAAGATGAGAGTATCATGGACTTTCTTGCCTGGATTGGCTTTGAACCCGTGATCCTTAGATCACAACCTCCTGAGTAGCTAGCATTACAGGTTGGGGATTTCCTTATTAAAAACTATCTACTATAAGTATTATACTGTATTTTCTTTCTTTTTTTTTTTTTTTGTCGGCCGTGGGGCTTGAACTCTGGGCCTGGGCGCTGTCCCTCAGCTCTTCAGCTCAAGGCGAGCGCTCTACCACTTGAGCCACAGCACCACTTCCAGTTTTATGAGTGGTTTATTGGAGACAAAAGTCCCCGCTCTACCACTTGAGCTACAGCGCCACTTCCGGTTTTCTGGTGGTTTATTGGAGATAGGAGTCTCACGGTCTCTCCTGCCTGGGCTGGCTTTGAACCGTGATCCTCAGATCTCAGCCTTCTGAGTAGCTAGGATTACAGGCGTGAGCCACCAGCGCCCGGCTATATATTGTGTTTTCTTTAATCATATCTTAATGTGTACTTGGGCTGCTGAAATGTCTCATGTGTAGTGCTGTAATAAATGGGGGAGTGTAGATGTCTTTGACATTGTGATATCATATGCTTTGAAAATATACACATGCAGGAATTGTTGAATTTTGTGGAACTTCTTTTTTTAATTTTTTTTTTGTTTTTTGTTTTTGTTTTGGTCAGTTGTGGGGCTTGAACTCTGGGCCTGGATGCTGCCCCTCAGCTCTTCAGCTCAAGGCTAGTGCTCTACCACTTGAGCCACAGCACCACTTCCAGTTTTATGAGTGGTTTATTGGAGACAAAAGTCTCACAGACTTTCCTGCCCGGGCTGCCTTTGAACTGAGATCCTCAGATCTCAGCCTCCTGAGTTGCCTGAGCCACTGGTGCCCTGCTTTTTCTAATTTTTTTTGAGAATCCTGTATACTATTTTCTGTTGTGCTTATGTTGGTTTTTGTGGGGACCAAACCTAAGGCCTTGTCAGCTATATCTGCATCCTAGAATGGGGAGTGTAATTCTATTGTATTCCAGGTAATTATTGGTAGGTAAAAACCTGATAATGCCATTTTGAAGGTCTTTTTTTTTTTTTTCCCTTTTCTTGATTTGTGTTATTTTTGCTAGTGATTTTTTTTCCTGTGTATCTCCGTTAGGTTTTGCTTTTTGGTTCTGCAGCTTATATAAAACATTTTATAGCCATAATTTAGTGTGATTAAAAACTTAATAAAAACTTAATCTTATGTTAGGTGCTGGTGGCTCATATCTGTAATCCTAGCCACTCAGGCTAAGATCTGAGAATTGTGATTTGAGACAGCCTCAGGCAGGAAAGTCTGAAACGGTTACTCTAATTAACAACCAGAAAGCCAGAACTGGAGCTATGGCTCAAGTGGTAAAGTGCCAGTCTTAAGCAAAAAAAGAAAAACAACAACAAAAAGAAAAAAAAAAAACTTAGAAACAGTTCCCAGGCCTTGAGTTAGCCCCATGACCAGCAGAAAATCAAAATAAAAAAAGGTTATCCAATTTTGCTTGCATAACTATACAATTTTGGGGTGTGTATGTGCCACTACTGAGGCTTGAACTCAGGGCTTTGTGCTTTCATTTGGCTATCTTCCTCACTGGTAGCAGTCTACCACTTGAGTCATACTTCCAGCCTGGCTTTTTGCTGTTAAACTGGAGATAAATTATTACAAACTTTTCTGCCTGGACTGGCTTCCAACCCTAGTTCTCCAAGTCTCAGCCTCCTGAGTAGCTGGTATTATAGGTATGAGCCACTAGCACCTGGCATAATAACTGCCTTTGTCACAGTTTTTTACTTTTGGCTTTACAATTTGTGTTTTAATATTGTATATCTCCTAACAAATCATGTAGCTATTAGTATTTTCAATAGTTTGGCTTTTTAAGTCTTCACAGGAAGACTATATGTGACTAATATACCACCATTAGGGTATTAGAGTAATCTGAGTTTAAGTTTGTACTTTTATCTGTGAGTCATAGGCTTTTTTTATTTTTGGTCTTTTTGGTACTGGGGATTGAATGCAGGATGTTGCACTTGCTAGGCAAGTACTTTGTCATTGAGCTACATCCCAGCCCTCTCATGTTTTTATGTGAGTGTGAGAACCAGAGGGGTGGGAAGTCCTGCCACACATGCTATGCCGCTGCGGGGGGGGGTGGTGGTGGTGGGGGGGCGTCAAAGGGCGGCTTGGGTGCAGGGTGTGCAGATGGATATATGTATATATATGTGTGTGTGTGTGTGTATACATACATACATACATACATACATACATATATATATATATATATGCTGGGTATTCTGGAGAGGGGGATAGAGGAGACGCAAGAGGTTGCAAGAGACGCACCTCATGTCCCTCTCCCCACTCCCAGGCCCCCCCCCCCCACCCGTTGGAGAGGCCTGCAGAAAGGCCCACAGAAAGGCCTGTGAAGAACAGTGAGACCTGCAGAAAGCCGAGAGGCCTGTCTAGAGGGCAGTGAAGAGCTAAGAGGCTTGGAGAGATAGGGGAGGCCTGTGGAGAAGCCTGTTGAGATGGGAGAGGCCTGATGAGAGGCAGAGAGGCCTGTGGAGATAGGAGAGGCCTGAGGAGATCGGAGAGGCGTGCAAGAGGCCCGTGGAGATTAGAGAGGCCTGCAGAGAGCGGAGAGAGGCCTGCAGAGAGCGGAGAGAGGCCTGCAGAGAGCAGAGAGGCGAAGTGGCTTGTGAAGAGGTGAAGAGGCTTGCTGAGAGGTGGAGAGGCCTGTGGAAAGGCCTGTGGAGAGCAGAGAGGCTTGCAGAGAGTGGAGAAGCCTGTGGGAAGAAGGAAAAAGGAAAATCACTTGCCCCCTTGGAGGTTGGAGCTGCTTCTGGTTCTGAGATGACCCAGGACAGGGTTGCAGACCAACAAATAAAACTTCTTTGTCACTTTTATCCTTGTCTCTGTGGCTTTTCTCACTCACAGGTTATTACATTAGTAATTAGCAGTCACTGAACTTTTGGAAGGTGATGAATTTTTTGTGCTTTTTCTTGGAAAATCTTTCTGTGTCATTTTGGAAGGCAGCTTTGCTCACTCCTATACCATCAACATATTTTGCCATTTTTGAAGGACTAGCATAGTAAGATTGATTTTTTTTTTTATTATGGTTAGGAATCCCTCCCCCCCCCTTCCCTCAGCACTTGTTATATATTCTCCCCCTCTGTCCTAGCCTATAAGTTCCTAAGTCATAGTTCTGCTAGTGGCTGTTTTTGGAAGTCCTTCATGTTACTTGCTCTTTTCCCCCCCTCATGCTGGTTTCAGCATGTACCTTTGTGCTTTTTTTTTTTTTTTTGTATGTGTGTGTGTGTGCTTTGTTTTATGTCAGTTGTGGGGTTTGAAATTGTGGGTCCTGAGCGCTATCTCTTAACTCTGTGGTCAAGGTTGGTGCATTACCAGTTTGAGCCACAATGCCATTTCTGGTTTTCTAGTGGTTAATTTGAGATAAGAGTCTCATGGACTTTCCTACCTAAGCTGGCTTTGAACCATGATCCTCAGATCTCAGCCTCCTCAGTAGCTAGTATTACAGGCGTGAGCCACCAGTATCTGACTTTGCTTTTGATTTTTGATTGGTTATAATAATTTCAAAGCTTGTTCCTATTGATTTTACTGGAGAATCTTGAGAGGAATGGCATCTTTTTCCAGATGTAAGACTTTTTCTGTTGTTCTATGCTTCTGGAGTTCAAACCCATGGTATTGTGCATGCTAGGAAAGTATTTTACCATTCTATCTGTATCTGTCTCCATTTTGATTCCACCTCACAAATACCGTATAAAGTTTCATCAATCACTTTTTCCTTTGTGTATTTTATAACTAGTCCAGCTGAATGCCAGTGTCTCATGCCTATGATTCTAGCTACTCAGGAGGCTGAGAGCTGAGAATCTTGGTTTGGAGTCAGCCTACGCAGAAAGTCCATGAGATTTAGCTCCAATGAATCAGTAAAAAGCTAGAAGCAGAGCAGAGCTGTGGCTCAAGTGGTAGAGCACTGTCCTTGAGTGAAAAAGTTAAGTGACAGTGCCCAGGCCTTAAGTTCAAACCCCAAGACTGGCAGAGAAAACAAACTAGTCTTCTGAGATTTTGTTCTGTTTGATCACTTCTCTTTCTTTCTCTTTCTTCCCCCTTTTGGTGCTATTGAAGGGTTCCTGTTTTATCATTGGTATTGTTTATGTTCCTTATTACATTTTAGTTTACTTTATATGTAAGTTAAAGGCTTAAAGGAGGAATACATAGATACTTCTAAGTAGAACTTACTGGAAAAAGACATTGTGTGTAGGAATGTACTCCACTACAGGGAAATAAGATGAGAGGAGCTCCCAGTCTAGTTGTGATGAGATAAGTTTACATGTAAGAGATGCCAAAAGCCATGTGATGGGAGAACAATAGCAAGTGAGTGTAAAGAGAGATGTCCTAGAAAGATTGAACCCTGGGATATTGTTTGGGAGACCTTAGAATCCTAGATAGGCATCAGTGTTACTTCCTCATTTTCCAGTGGCTATTGGTCAAGAAGCTACTTGGCTCAAGGTAGCGTGTGTGTGTGTGTGTGTGTGTGTGTGTGTGTGTGTGTGATGATTTAGGACTTGGTTGCCTTGGAGGATGTGGCTGTGGACTTTACACAGGAAGAGTGGATTCTGCTGGACCCACCTCAGAGATCTATACAGAGAGGTGATGCTGGAGACTTGTCAGCAACTGGTAGGACTGTCATTATTTCTTGTAGTAGCTTCTTATGGAGTAGAAACATTCCATATGGAGTAGAAAGATTCCTGGATTGGTGAAGCCATCTCTGAATACAGTGGGAAATAAAAGAGGTAGTGTCCCTGCCCTAACATGTTTAATATATTATTGGTGATTATGATAGCATTACCATCACTCTTAGAAATGTGCAGTTTGAGATTGCACTTTGGACATGGTGAATCACCTGTGTTGTAATAATTCTCCCATATGAATATGTTTTATCTAAGGTTGATAACTATTGGAATAAGTTCCTAAAAGAAGGAAGATCTTTACCTTCATTATATCCAACTTGAGGGAAAGTCTTAATGACTTTTGCATGTGTGTTTAAGCCTGAATGTGTTCTAGGGGGTCAGAGATTACCCATAAAGTGAATACTTGTATTTTATGCTGTTTAAAAATAATTTTAGGCTCACATTTGTTGTCCTAACTTCTCAGGATCAGGGAGATTGTGGTTCTTGGCCAGCCTAGGAGGAAAATTAGAAAGAACTCATCTTAACAAGGAAAGCTGGGCATGGTAGCAGTCCTAGCTATGCACTTTCAGCTATGCATTCTCAGTTACAGAGGAGGCATAAGTAAGATGATTGTGGTCCAGGGCAGTTCTGACAAAAATATAAGATCAGATCTGAAAGGCAAATAGATCTAGGGGCATGGCTCAAATGATACAGTGCTTGCCTAACAAGCTCAATCCCCAGTACCACCCCATGCCCCCACAGTTTCATTAGAAATTAATTCCTTTTGCATGGTAATACTTGTCATCTTATATGAGACTTTTCCTTTGATGTACCTTTTTTTGTGGCTAGGAGGTCGGCTCTTCAAACCCAAGTTGATATCTTGGTTGTAAGAAGAAGTAAAGTTAACAATAATGGAGCAAGGTGTTCTTCATGGTAAGTGTGAAAGACATGTTTTTAATTTTTTTTAATTTTTAAAACTATACTTGTGGAACATTAAAAAAATTATACCTTCTGGAAATGAGCTAATAAAAAGCTACTCACAAGACACTCTGTTGGAAATGAACTTTAAAATTTGTGGGGGAAAGGGAGTCGGGCTGGGAAGGCAAGAGAAAACAAGAGAGGGGTAACTGTATGAAAAGAAAGGTACTTATTTCCTTATGTAACTGTAACCCCTCTGTACATCACCTTTACAATAAAAAAAAAAAAAAGAGGTCAGTTCTGGGGGCCAGTGGCTCATGCCGGTAATCCTAGCTACTCAGGAGGCTGAGCTCAGTATCATGGTTCAAAGCCAGCCTGGGCAGGAAAGTCCTTGAGACTCCTATCTCTAATTAACCACTAGTAAACTGGAATTGGTGCTGTGGCTCAAGTGGTAGAGCACTTACCTTGAGCTGAAGAGCTCAGGGACAGTGCCCAGGCCCAGAGTTCAGGCTCCATGCCCAACCAAAAAAAAAAAAAAAAGAGCACCTGCCTTGCAAACATCAAGAAGAAAAAAAAAAAAAAAAAGCAAAATCCACCGCCTATCCCCCTGTTCCTCCTTCTTCCCAAATAAAGGAGGAGAAAAAGGCAAAGAAAAAAACCCACCCCCAAACAAGTAGCACATTTCCCCAGGGGAAGTGGAATATACCTTAGAGCTGCTGGAAGCAGAATAGAGTTGTTTCAGCTATAGAAACCTTCAAAGAAAGACTCAAAGCATAAATACATTAAAAGGAAATAAAAGTGATCATCAGGAAATCTGGAAGGTCAGGGAGCCAGAAAAGGGGGCTGAGTGAGTGGTAGACATGGCAGGATAGGCAGAAGATGGAGGGAAAGTAATAAGTAGAACAGTTTGGTGTCCCTTCAGATCCCTCCTCCCACTCATGCCCACCTATCCAGCTCAGCCCCTGAGAGGGTGAAGGATTTGAAAACTTGCATAATTTGAGATATGTCCAGAGTTAGTGATTGCCAGTCCCCTCCTCCACTGCTTGGAGCTTTCCTCACTCTCCAGAGCATCCCTTCTCAGTAGTTAACTATGGTATTCTCCCTTGTCATACTGTCATTGATAAGTTCCAGGTTGTGAAGTCTTTTGGGAAAGTTTTTTTGTTGTTGTTGTTGCTCAAGGTGAGTGCTCTAGCGCTTGAGCCGCAGTGCCACTTCTGGTTTTCTGGTGGCTTTTTGGAGATAAGAGTTTCATGAACTTTCCTGCCTAGACTGGCTTTGAACTGTGATCCTTAGATCTCAGCCTCCTGAGTAGCTAGGATTATAGGTGTGAGCCACTGGTGCCTGGCTGTGGGAAGACTTTTTAAAGCCCACTTTGTATCTGAAGGCTGAGGTCTTGGGACTGCACATTGTGGGGTATCTTCAATTCCCTATTCTCTGTTGCTTACTTTAGGCCATCTTCCCTGTGATCTCAACAGTCCCTGTTCTTTTCTACTTGGAAACTATTTGTGCAACTGTTTCCTGTGTTGCATTTCTGATTCTCTTGTTTTGTTTTTGTTTTGCCGGTCATGGGGCCTGAACTCTGGGTCTGGGTGCTGTCCCTCAGCTCTTCAGCTCAAGGCTAGCGCTCTACCACTGGAGCCACAGCGCCACTTCCGGCTTTTTCTGTTTATGTGGTGCTGAGGAATCAAACCCAGGACCTCATGCTTGCAAGGCATGCACTCTACCGCTGAGCTACCTTCCCAGCCCTCTTGTTTCTTCTACCATTGCTTTTTGTTTGAAAACAATACTAATCAGCCTTATAATTTTTAAGTCATTTAAGCTCTCAGGGTTGTGTAACCCTTTATAAATCTTTAAAAATGTTTTTGTATTTCATTACAGAATGGGAAATGCGCCTTAAAACCAAAGGTACAGCAGTTGAGCAGGATATTTTTTGGTCAGATGCATCAAACGGGATCCAACTGGTAAGATTCACAAGGACTATTCTCTCTCCTTCCTTCCCTCCATCCATTCCTCCCTCCTTCCATTCTTCTCTCCCTCCCTCTCTCTCTCTCTTTTCCTCCCTCCCTCTGTTCATTCTGCTTGAACTCAGGGAATCCCAGTTCCACTCAGCTTTTTCACTCACAGCTGGCACTCTACCATTTGAGCCATGCCTCCAGTTCCAGCTTTTTGCTGGTTAATTGGATTTGTCTGCCCACACTGACTTTAGGCTGTGATCCTCAGATCTTAGTCCCCTGAACATGCCTATTAGCATGAGTCAACCACACACAGCCATAAGGGATATTTTTTAGTTTTCAAGTCACAGAAGATTTGAAATTTCTGGATAAAAATCAGTACAAATGAGTGCTACAAAAAGGAAATGATCATGACTCGCAAGGGAGAGATGTTCAAACCTAGTGTGAGGCTTGGTACTTCAGAGTTCCCACAAGTATACATTCCTCTCAAAGTCTAGAAAGTTCTTTGATCTTGATTTATCCCTTTACTAACAGGCAGAAAGCAACAATGGAGAGGAACTCTATGACTCCAAGGAAATCACAAAAGTCTTTATTGGACACTCAGATCTGCAAACACACATGAGTGCTCCAAATATAGAGAATACTTCTGAGTGTAATCAGTATGGAAAAGACTTCCTTCCGCTGGTCCAGGAAAGCCCCAGTGAAGAGAAATTTTCTCTGTTGATTCAGCGGGAAGAAGCCTTCACCCTGGCTCCAAACCTTGATTACCAGAAAACATGCACAGGAGACAAATCCTTTGAGTGCAGTGATTGGGGAAAAGCCTTTGTTAATCAACCACATCTTCAGGCCCAGGACACAGCTCACAATGGAGAAAAGTTCTATGAATGGGAGCATATGAGTGGGAAAACTTTTACTCAGTCCACTAGCTGTTCTGCCCTTGTTCAGTCACACACTGTAAAGGAGCCCTACGAATGTGGAGATTTCTTTACATATCCTTTGTACCTGAATAATCATTTGGGAACTCACACTTGGCAGAAGCCCTATGAATGTAAGGAATGTGGGAAAGCCTTCACTGTGCACTCTGCCCTTACTGCTCATTTACGAAGTCATAATAGGAAGTCCTATGACTGTAAGGAATGTGGGAAAGTGTTCACTAAGTCCTCAGGCCTTATTGAGCACATGAGAAGTCACACAGGAGAGAAACCCTTCGAATGTGACCAGTGTGGGAAGGCCTTTGCTTCCTCCTCCTACCTGATTGCACATTTGAGGACTCACACTGGAGAGAGGCCCTTTGAGTGCACCATGTGTGAGAAAACGTTCACTCGCTCCTCGTACCTTCGCATTCACATGCGAACTCACACGGGAGAGAAACCCTATCAGTGTAAAGAGTGTGGGAGAACCTTCGCTGTGCGCTCATGCCTTAACATACACTCCCGCACACATACCGGGGAGAAGCCCTACAAATGTAAGGAGTGTGGAAGAGCCTTCACTAGCTTTCGTCAACTCACTGAACACATGAAAACTCACACTGGCGAGAAGCCCTTTGAATGTCATGTATGTGCAAAATGCTTTAGGAATTCCTCATGCCTTAAAAAGCACTTCCGAATTCACACTGGAGTAAAACCCTATAAATGCAATTACTGTGGCAAAGCCTTCTCTGGGCATACAGGCTTTACTACGCATATACTGACTCACACTGGGGAGAAGCCATATCAGTGCAAAGAGTGTGGGAAGGCCTTCACCACGTCCTCACATCTGATTGGACATCTGAGAAGTCACACAGGAGAGAAACCCTTTGACTGTCACCAGTGTGGTAAGGCCTTTGCCTCTTCCTCTTATCTTACTGTGCACTTGAGGACTCACACTGGAGAGAAGCCCTTTGAGTGCACAGTCTGTGGGAAAGCATTCTCACGTTCCTCCTATGTCCGCAGGCACATGAGAACTCACACTGGAGAGAAACCCTACGAGTGTAAGGACTGTGGGAAAGCCTTCAGTGAGCGCTCAGGCCTCACTAAACACTTGAGAACCCACACTGGGGAGAAGCCCTATCAGTGTCAGCAGTGTGAGAAAGCGTTCATTAGCTTTTCACAGCGCACTGAACACATGAAAACTCATACTGGCGAGAAGCCCTTTGAATGTCAAGTATGTGCAAAATCCTTTAGGAATTCCGCATGCCTTAAGACTCACTTTCGAATTCACACTGGAATAAAACCATATAAGTGTAAGGACTGTGGCAAATCCTTCACCGGGCGGACCAGCTTTACTACCCATGCCCTGGCTCATACGGGGAAGAAGCCATATGATTGCAAGGAATGCGGCAAAGCCTTCAGTACTTCCTCTTATCTAATCCAACATCTCCGAAGCCACACAGGAGAGAAACCCTTTGAATGTAAGCACTGTGGGAAGACATTTGTCTCCTCTTCATCTCTTCATCTCCATTTAAGGACTCACTCCGGAGAGAAGCCCTTTGAGTGTTCAGTGTGTGAGAAAGCGTTTACCTGTTCCTCCTACCTTCGCAGGCATGTGCGAACACACACTGGAGAGAAACCATATATGTGTAAGGAGTGTGGGAAATCCTTTACTGAGTGTTCAGGCCTTTCCAAACATGTAAGAACTCACACTGGGAGAAAACCCTACGAATGTAATGAATGCGGAAAAGCCTTCACTGCTTCCACCCACTTAAATACCCATTTAAAAATTCATGCCAGACATAAACTCTCTAAATGGAAGGAATGTGGGAAGGCCTTCACTAGCTCCTCTGATCTTAATGAACACAAGTCATCCATGAAAAAAAACACTTTGAATGTAAGGAATGAGGAAAATCTGTAAAGTGCTCAGTATGTAATAATCACATTTGAATACAGTCTTGAGAAACCTTATCAAGGTATAAAGCATTCAGATGTCTTTGTTCACTTTGAAGACATGGGAGACCTGACTCTTGACTCTGCTCTATGAATATAATGAACATAGGAGAGCTGTTGGAATCTCCCCACAATCCAACATGGATGGAAGAACTCAGCCCTGAGGCACTTACGGTATAGAGAACTTGCTGGAGTGAAATCCTATTGATGTAAGATAATAATACATGCAAAAGTTGTAGTTGTTTACTGGTTGATCTCACAGTGACTTTATGAAAGTTAGAAAGTTTCTTTTTTACATATTCCTCTTTTAGTAGATGTGATTCACACTGAAGAGACACTGCGTGAGTGGAATATGGGCAGTGCTTCCATGTGTCCTGAAGTCTTATGTGCTGACAGACTTGGATTTCTAGATGGTTCTATAGATAAATTTTAATGTTTTGGATATTTTATATATTTCATTATGAGTATGTGTTCTTAACTTTGGTTATATAATTTCCACTACAGTTTTAATTTCTGTTTTTAGCATCTTTATTGATAAGTCATTGTATTAGGTGCACAATCTGATGTGTATATATGTAAACGTTGTGAAATTATAAACCTACTCAAGCTAGTTAGCAACTCCATCTTCTTACATCCCTACCACCTTCTCTACCAGATAGATTTTTGAGTGTTGGGGGTGGGGTGGGTGTGGCTCCAGTCCAGGACCTTTGTTAGGCATTCTGCCACAGAGCTATTCCCCCAGTTCCTATTCTTTTAAATGTTATGCCAGAAAAATACTTTCTATTGTCTAAAGTTCCATATTTATAGCACATTGTTACTATTGATAGCATAATGTCTAGTACTTATGCATCTTGTCAGTAAAAATTTGTACCTTTGATCTCCTCCTCCCCTGTTCACCCCCCAACTCCAGCTTGTAATCATTGTTCTAATCTGTTTCTGTGAGTTTGACACTTTTAGGTGTGGTCTTAAGAGTTTTTGGTTTTGTTTTGTTTTGGGTTTTTGAAGTAGGTATTGTTTTGTTTCCCAGACTGGCCTTGAAGTCATGATACTCCCGTCTCCTCCTTGGTGCTGTGATTACAGGAATGTGCCACCACACTTATACTTTTAGTTTAGGTTTTTTTTTAATCTGCCTTTTTTCAATTAATATTAACATAATGTCCTACTGGATCATTGATGCTATTGCAAAATGGCAGAGTTTCTTTTTCCAAAGACAATATTAAATTTTATATATACACCATGTCTTATCTGTTCATGTGTTGAGGGCCACAGGTGTTTTTCCATACCTTGGCTCCTAGGAGTTACTGGTGCTGATACGTGCGTGGTGGCATGTGCCTGTAGTCGCATTTGCTCTGGAGGATGAGGCGGGAGTATGTATGGCTTGTGGGCTACATAGTGAGCTCCCATCCGACAAAAAAGTATTTCTGCAATTGTTCTTCAGCAGGAACATATTTATTTCCTTAGGTGTACATATCCAGAGATCAGTTTGCTCGACAGTTTTGTAGCTTTCCTTTTTTTTTTTTTTTCCTTTGTGCCAGTCCTGGGGCTTGAATTCAGGTCCTGTCCCTGGACCTTTTTGCTCAAGGCTAGTGCTTTCCACTTGAGCTATAGCTCCACTTCTGGCTTTTTGATAATTGGAGGTAAGAGTCTCATGGATTTCCTGCCTAGGCTGGCTTTGTGATCTAATGATCATAGCCTTCTCAGTAGCTAGGATTACAGGTGTGTGGCAGTGAGGCTCAGCTGTAGCTTTACTCTTATTATGAAGAGCCTGCATATCCCCTTTTGCACAGACTGCTCACTTGTATTTCCACCAACAGTATACTGAGGTATTTCTTAAAAAATCATCTTTACTGACATTAAATACTGTTGACTTAAAACAATTATTATAGGTATCTTAATGTGTGAGGTGATACCTCATCATGGTTATTTGTATATCCCTGGTGACCACTGACTCAGCATCTTTTTATATACCTGTATAGCCATTTGTGTGTCCTTGTTAAATACCCTGGTCATTTGCCTATTTTTAAGTTGGGTTAGTTGGGACTTTTGCTGTTGACTTACATGTGTTCCTTACATATTTCGAGTGTGAACATATTACCAGAGACATGGTTTACAAATACTCTGTCCCATTCCATTCTTTGCCTTGTCATTCATTTGATTGTTTCCTTTGCATCACTAAGGATATGGTCTAGCTTTTTCAATTTTTTTCTTGCCTGTAATTTGGGCAAGAACTTAAAAAAAATTGCCAAGAAACATTTTCTTTCAGGAGGTTTTTTTAGGATGAAAAGTGGGTCTTTACAGCCTGATGTTTGAGTCTTTAACCTACGTTATGGACTCATATATGTAAGACCATGGTCCAGTTTGTTCTGTAGGATATACATATCCAGTTTTCACTGTTACATTTATATAAGAGACTATACTATCTCCATTTGTGTATTGGTGCTTTAGTTGGAAGTTACTTGACTGTATATGCATGTTTATTTCTGAACTTTCTGTTATATTCCATTGTTCTATGTCTTATTTTTATGCCAGTTCAGTACTTTTTTTTTGTGGGTTACTGAGTATTGAGCCCAGGACCTCATACATGTACAATATTATTTGGATTATTATAGTTTTGTAGTATAATTTGAAATCAGGAACTATAATGCCTCAAGTTTTGTTCTTTCTCAGTTCCTTTGGCTTTTCAGTCTTACTTGGTGCTAAATTAAAAAAATTAAAATTTCATGAAAACATACCATTAAAATGTTGAAAGGGATGACATGTTAAATCTGTAGATTTCTTTGGGGCATGTGGGTGTCTCAACAATATTCATTCAGTCTATAAGCATGGGGTGTCCTTTTATTTGTGTCTAATTTCTTTCATGAGTGTTTTATAGTTTTTATTGTACTGGTTTCATTTCAACCTACCCTAAATATTATTTCATTGTTTTTGCTATTTATTGAAAATAGAATTGCTTCTGTAAGTTCTTGTTTTTTTCTTGACAATGTATAGGGACGTTTCTGATTTTTTTTCTTTTTGTTTGTATGTGTGTGGTGGTACTGGAGGCTGAGCATCTCCAGTCCCCATGCTTTATGTTTGACTTGAGCCCTTCAACTTTTGTGAATTTGTATTAGTTCAAGTAGTTATTTCATACACTCTACTGTTTTCTACATCTATGAAGACTGATTTGGATGCCTGTCTCTTGTACAGTTGTGTGGTTTGGACTTGCTGTGTTAGATTGGATAGGGGTGGCAATTGTGGGCTTTTTTTGGTCTTGTTCTTGATCTTACAGGAAATATTTTGAGCTTGTCACCATTTGTGATGATAATTTTGGGCTTGTTATATGACCCTTACTTAGTTGAGGTGCCTTTTAGAATATCTTATTTGTTAAGAATTGTTATGGAGGTTGTTTAATATTGTCAATTTTTATGCATTTTTTTGCATTGGTAATGTGATTTTTTCCCTTTGTTTTGTTAACATGATATAGCACATTTATTTACATATGTTCAACCATCTTTCCATCTACCAGGGATAAATGTCACTTGATCATAGTGTGTGGTTCTTTTAACAATTACTTAAATGTGAATGGACTAACTTTGGCCATCAAAAGTCTACATCAAGAAATGGGATATATTTACATGTATGCTTGCTTCACCTTAGGGCATAAGGTGTTGACTGAAAGTGAAAGGAGATAAAAGAATCTGGCAACAGCTCAGTGGTAGCATACTTAGCATGTATAAGGTTCTGAATTCTATCTCCAGCAGCACAAAGAAACAACAAACACTAACTTTATTTAGTGGAAGCACAGTGCAGTTATGTAAGTATTGACAGGTTTTATTTTACTGAGGTCATCTCATTTTTCCCTTTTTTTTCTTTAAATGGATCACTGTTTCATTTAGCTTTCTTCGTGATGTCTAATATATGTTCTTTGTCACAAAGTACACTGTTTTAAACAGTAAATGTTATATAGCTCGCTGGACATGGTGGAAAAAGTCATTATAGATTCTAAATAGAGAGTTAATGAGAATGCATTTACTTCTGTTGGGGGTAATACTTTGGAGAAATAATTTCAAAAACTTAGCAGTGTATATTAAAGCTGCCATTTGTGTGCTTTATGACTCTGGTAATCCTACCTTTTTATTTATCAAGATCAAAGTTCACACTTTAGTTTTTTTTTCTTGTCCTTTCCTTTTTGTTCTTCCTATTTTATTTTAATTTTTATGTTGGACCTGGGGCTTCAACTCAAGGCTGTTACTTGAACTGTTCCTGAGCTTTTGAGTTCAAGGCTAGCGCTCTACCACTAGAGCCACAGTACCACTTCTGGCTTTTTAGTGGTTAATTGGAAATAAGAGTCTCATGTACTTTCCTGCCTGGGCTGTCTTTGAACTGTGATCCTCAGATCTGAGCCTCCTGAATAGGATTATAGGTATGAGCCACCAGTGGCCAGTCTTCTTTTGTTTTCTATTTTTTCTGCCTTTCCTCCTCCCATATTTTTTTCCTTCTTTTCTTTCCTTTTGACAAAGTTTTGCTATGTGGCTCAGACTGGCCTTGGACTCATGTTCCTCCTGCCTCAGACCCCAGAGTACTGGGATTGCAGGTATGTGCCATCACACCTGGCTCACACCAGTATTGACCTATCCCTAAATTGGAAACAAACCAAATGTGAATCAACAGGAGATTGGGTAAATAAATCAAAGGTAGATGAAAGAAATGGATGAACTTCACTGGAAAATTTTTCTGTGCTGTTATTCAACGCAAATGCTCCCAGCCCTCTAATTTTGAGTGAAAAAGACAAAAAGACCTGCCCTTCTCTAACTCAAAGATAACCATTTGATTAGAGAATGTGTTTTTTCATACATTGTTGTCTCAGTAAGCTTAGGTTCTTACAAAGCATAGGTCTCCAAGGTTTTTGTGGTGAGAATTCCAGATAAAGCTTGTGGGGATTCTCTGCCCAGATTGTACCTAGTTGCCATAGAGATTTTGATTAGGTTTCCCAGTCCGTTTTCCATTGTTATAACAAGGTACCTGCTGCTGCTTACAGCCTTGGAGGCTGGAAATCCAAGATCTCACACCCCCTTTTGTTTAGCTTTTTCTGAGACCCTTCTCTCCCCCTCCCCCCATGGACTGAATCTTATCTCAACGTGGCAGAAAAGCAGAAAAGGAAATGGCTGTGTGAGAGGGGGACCATGGAAGGTAGTGGCCTTGCTTTACAATATCTGGCCTGGAGTTGGGAATATGGCTTAGTGGTAGAGGCTCGCCTAGCAAGCATGAAGCACTGGGTTCGATTCCTCAGTACCACATAAACAGAAAAACCCGGAAATGGTGCAGTGGCTCAAATGGTAGAGCCCCTAGCCTTGAGTTGAAGAGCTGAGGGACAGTGCCCAGGCCCAGAGTTAAAGTCCATCAACCGACCCTCCCCCCCCAAAAAAAAAAATCCGGCCTGTTATTGATCTACATCCTCAACTTAAAAAAAAATTAAATAAAAATTTTTTTTAGCGAGCCAGTGGCTCATGAATATAATTCTGGCTACTCAGGAGACAGATCTGACCATCTCAAGTTTGAAATCAGACCTGGCAAACCAATCTAGGAGACTTACCTCCAATTAAACAGTAAAAAGCTAGAACAGAGGCTGAAAAGTCCTAGTGAGAGCACAGGGCCTTGGAATATAAGCCCTATTATTGATTGGCACAAAATGAAAAAAAAAAGGTTTTGATCAAACCCTTGCACATGGTAAGACAAATGCTCTCTAAGCAACACCCCAGCCCCTCGGTGTCTGACGGGCTCCTTAGATCACTTTGATCTGCTTCAGCAAGAATCATTTAGCACAGCTTATCTGAGCCATTCATCCTCTGCCTTAGTAATTGCCCATGCACCAATCTTTGCCCACAAATTCTTAATTACACGTTGCTGTTTCTCTACTGCAAAAAGTCCCATTAAATTATTCCTAGTGTGGGCAGCAGTGACAAACAACTAACGTGGTTAGGTGGGGGTTTGAGTCTGGGCCGGCGCTTGACAGCCTGGCAAAGCGTCACCGAGCCAGGCTCCCACAAACCTGTTTCTCTGGTTTATAGCAAAGTCTCGCGTGAACCTGGCTGTTGGGCCCGGGAGAGGGGTGACGTCACAACAGCGCCGGAAGTCGGCGCCGTTCGCGCGCCGCCATGTTGGTTTTGCCCTCAGTGTGGTCGGGCGGGAGCGTGGGGGGGGGGCGCGGCGGGCCCGTGGGAGGCGTCCGCTGTCAGCTCGGACCTGAAGACTCCCCCTTCGGGGTCCGCGGAAAGTCGGCTGTCGCCTCTTCAGAATTCTCCACTGCCGTCGTGACCCCCCGCCAGCCCGGGAAGGAGGAACATCTTCCCTGACGGCAGCTCCGTGGACTCCGGCGGGGCTGCGTCCTCCCACCCCGGCGCCCGGCGCTGCCCACGGAGCTCGGCGGAGAGGTCGGCCGGAGCCCTTGTTCCTCCTGACCTCGCCAGTAATCGTTTCTCCACCGAGTCGGGTCCACCTTGTGCGTCCGGTAATTATTGTTGTTGAAAGGATCCATCGCATCCATGCCAGGGGACCACGCAGAGGCAGGCAGGCCCAGGAGAAAGATTATTACAAGGTTTATTAGAGGAGCCATACTTCCCCCAGATAGGGAGCACATGGCCGCCTCCACTATCTAGGTAGCAACAGGGTCTGGGGGTCGGAAGTAAGGTAGGTGGGAGCCCAGGTGGGTCTGAGTGGAGAGAGGGAGGGGCCAGCTGTATGGCAGGAACTCCAGGGCTGGGAGGAGTTCAGGGCTGGGTAGAGCTGAGGACCAAAGGTGTGCACAGTGCTTACAGTTGACATTATTATTTTGTGCTAGCCCTGGGACTTGAACTCAGGGCCTGAGTGCTGTCCCTTAGCCTTTTTGCTCAAGGAAGGCTCTCTACCACTTGAGCCCTGACCCCACTTCCTGCTTTTTGCTGGGCATTGGAGATTAGTGTCCCACAGACTTTTCCTGCCCAGGCTGACTTCGAACTTCTATCCTCAGTTCTCAGCCTACTGAGTAGCTAGGATTACAGGTGTGAGCCACCGGCACCCGACTTAATATATTATATATATAGGCACAGTCACATAAACTTTATATGTAAAGGCTCCTAGTGGAACTATTTGTGTTACCCAGTGGTCATTTCTAGTGGCTTTCACATACATCTTGTGGAGATGGAGGTAATTCTGGTGTTGAGGATTGGTACTAGTGCTTCTTACCGAATGGTGAATCTTTTGCAGGCATGCAAATGACCTTACAAAGAGGAGCAGCTTGCCACTGCCCTCCTGGATTCATAGACGGCCTGGTGGTCCTTGGAGTCACAGAAGAGAGAGCATCAAGGTGCATTTCTGCATCAGCCTTCCAGCATGGAAACCCTCCTTGTGTCCCCTGGTAAGTGCTATCCTTCCCACACAGAAGGGATGCTAGTGGTCTGAGTTGAGCAGCCTTGCCTGTGAGTTATTTTGAGGTGCTAAAATGGGCCACAGAGGACTGAGGTGCTAAGGTAACCACAGGATTTTTTTTTTTTTTGTCGGTCATGGGACTTGAACTCTGGGCCTGGGTGCTGTCTCTCAGCTCTTTAGCTCAAGGCGAGCGCTCTGCCACATGAGCCACAGTGCCACTTCCAGTTTTCTGGTGGTTTATTGGAGATAAGAGTTTCAGTGACTTTCCTGCCCAGGCTGGCTTTGAACCTCAGCCCTCAGATCTTAGCCTCCTGAATAGCTAGGATAACAGGCGTGAGCTGCCAGCGCCCTCCCCCCCCCCCATTTTTTTTTATCACAGTGGGCAAATAAAGTCATACTTCTCGGGGTTTTTACTTCTCATTTCATCTGTACAAGAGATGCTTATACTCCACCTATGTAGCAAAGCTTTCCAAGGTTTCTCTGCCTATGGACAAGGCTGACTGCTTAGGGATAGGGGCAGTAGTGTGTGTGTGTTTTCCTGAGTGGCTTAGGGATAGGGGCAGTAGTGTGTATGTGTTTTCCTGAGTGTGCTGGATTATACCATGGTTTCCAGCTAGGCTGTAATAATAGTCATGCATATGAATGTGAGGATTATGTTTTAGCTCTGGGGATTCTTGCCACCTTCTTTTTTTCCTCCATCCTAGGTCTATTTTCTAGAAGTCCAGTCTCCTTTCATGAAGAGGCCAAAAGGGCAGTGGCTAACCAGCTGACAAATTGTTATCAGGTATGAATGAATGAATGAATGCTATCCGCCAGAATGGCATGTTTGCATCTACCAGGAAGTCACATTTCCACCTAGGCTGACTTGTCTCTAGGGCTTCTGGAAGGAAGTTCTCAGGTGTATTTCCCAAGCTAGTGGACCCTCTTGTATTGGTGGAGCCTTACTTTGAAAATCATCCCAGCATTTCAGTAATTCCTCAATGAATCTTCATTCCCACAGCACAGACTCTACATCTCTGATTTTCTGGCTGTTCTGACAGATGATAAGGTGGATGAATGTTTCCCTTTTTTTTTGGGAAGCCTTCATTCCCTCACCACCCTTATCAAGTGTATTTACATAGACACATAAAAGGAGGAAGAGTGTCTGGTCATGGGTATTCATTGTTCATGTTGTTCATTAGAAGAGTGGAGATGAAGCAATGAATGTAGGTACCAAATTATCCCGAGGGTCAGTGAACCCTATGGTGGAGAGTGGGAGGGCTCTCCGCTCTCTCTAGGGATTGAGATCCTTGTGTTCATTCTGTAATGAACTTTTTGTGTGTGGGGGTATGACAGTTCTGGGCTTGACCTCAGGGCCTTGGTGCTGTCCTTGAACGTTTTTGCTTAAGGCTAGCATCTACCACTTCAGATCTCAGTCTCCTGCATAGCTAGGATGACAGGTGTAAGTGCTAGTACTTGGCTGTCTAATGAACTTTGATGGAGTTGTTACTTGGCTTAAACCAGTTGTGTGTGTGTGTGATGGTTTAGGACCTGGTAACCTTTGAGGATGTGGCTGTGGACTTCACCCAGGACGAGTGGATGCTCCTGGACTCAACTCAGAGAAGCCTGTACTGGGAGGTGATGCTGGAAAACTATGGGCACCTGGCCACAGTAGGTAAGGCCTGCCAGCATTCCTGTAGCCTCTTAGGAAACAAAAGTATATCACCAGCCAGGTGCTGGTGGCTCACGCCTGTAATCCTAGCCACTCAAGAGGCTGAGATCTGAGGATCACGGTTCAAAGCCAGTCCAAGCAGGAAAGTCTGTGAGACCATTATCCCCAATAAACCACTAGAAAACTGGAAGTGGTGCTGTAGCTCAAGTGATGGAGCACTAGCTTTGAGCTGAAGAGCTGAGAGACAGCACCCAAGCCCCACGACTAATTAAAAAACTAACACACACACACACACACACACACACCCCTATTTACTGTGTTATTGGATTGGTGGGATCAGCTCTGAGGACAGTGGAAAATGTAAGGCCTAGACTCTGCCCAAGCTTGTGGTTCTCATGGTATGGTCTTGGGGTTAACTGTATCCCTCTTAGTCTCTCAAAATGGTACCTCTCATCCTCCTCTTATGACATACTGAATCAGAAAATCTTCAGTTGGGCCCTATCTGTGTCTTTTTCTTGTTTTTAATTAAAAAAAAATTTTTTTTTGTCAGTCGTGGAGCTTGAACAATGGGCTTGGGCGCTGCCCATGTGCTCTTCAGCTCAAGGTGAGCACTCTGCCACTTGAGCCACAGCACCACTTCCGGTTTTCTAGTGGTTTATTGGAGATGAGTCTCATGGAGTTTCATGCCCAGGCTGGCTTTGAACCGCGATCCTCAGATCTCAGTCTCCTGAGTAGCTAGGATTACAGGCGTGAGCCACCAGCGCTCGGCTATTGTTTTTAGTTTTTTTTTTTAATGCTGCTACTGGGGCTTGAATTCAGAGCCTCAAGCTCTTGTTTGGCCTTCCTTTCATGGCTGGTGCTCTATCATTTGAGCTATACCTTCACTTCTGTTTTTTTCCTGGTTAATTGGAGATAAGACATTTTAGTTCTGTCTGCCCTAGTTGGCTTTGAACTATGATCTCAGCCTATTGAGTTGCTAGGATTATAGATATGAGCCATAGGTGCCTGGCTTCATCTGTGTTAATAATCCTTACACTTGAATCCACTGGGCCTACAGTATTTAATGATTACCAAAGCAGAGTGATCATGAGTGTTAGTCCAGCCTGTGCCACATAGTGAGAGAGTATATGAAAAAAACAAAAACTAAAAGACAAATAATTAAAAGAAAAAGAACCATAATACTTTGTGAATGTCTACATAACCATCACATTGGTATTGGAGATCAGAAGTCAGTGCCTTTCCACATATATGAAGGGACATTTCTTTTTCTCTGTGCAAGTGTGCTGGTCCTGGGGCTTGAAACTGTCGTTGAGCTTTTTTGCTCAAGGCTAACACTCTCAACCTGAGCCACAGCAAGGATGACAGTCAGCTACTGATTCTCCGTTGAAGGGATATTTCATATTGAGGACTTAAGTAGTCACTTTACGGCTGTCATTAGAAGTGTAATTTCCAAGCCAGGTGCCAGTGGCTCAAGCCTGTAATCCTAGCTACTCGGGAGGCTGAGATCTGGGGATCACAGTTCAAAGCCAGCCTGCGCAGGAAAGTCTGTGAGACTCTTACCTCTAATAAACGACCAGAAAACAGGAAGTGGTGCTGTGGCCCAAGTGGTAGAGCATTAGCCTTGAGCTGAAGAGCTGAGGGACAGCATCCAGGCCCAGAGTTCAAGCCCCAGGATTGAAAAAAAAGTGTAGTTTCCCAAATTGAAAACGAAAGAATGAAAAATGAACAATAAAGAGATAATCATTTCTGAATCATGGGAGTTTGTCATGTCCTGTGTGAGCTACTTCCATGACTGTGTCTTTCTAATATTCAGGATATCAGCTTGTCAAGCCCAGCCTGATCTCCTGTTTAGAGGCAGAAGAGTTAAGGACAGCAGAGAGAAGTGTTCTCCAAGGTAAGTGTTTGTGAAAGGCATCTGCAGTCAATGTGAAGTTAAGAACCTTTGGAGCATGAGGAATTAAAAAATCTAAAATACATATATGTACATAGAGTTCACACACATGCATGTTTACATGTATGTGTGTATATATATTATACTGTATACCTTGGGTGTGTGTATAGTATAGTGGAGTGCATATGTATGTGTATACATATGTATGCACATATGTGTGAGATTCTGAGAATAGGGTGTGAGCATGCCAGGCATGTGTTCTATGCTGAGGGAATATAGCCTTTGAGTTAGCTGGAGCTGTTGGACTCAGAAGTTTGGGGATGTCATCAACACTAACACTGTAGTACTTTTGCAACTGTCCAGAATTTTCTTAGTCTCAACCAGGCTTCACGTTTGAGTTAATAGTTCACATATATGTTCTTTTTCCTAATAATTTTCTAATTATTTTTCCCTGTTTCTGTTACCTAATAGTTTCTGATCACTGTGACGTTTGATTTCAGAAAATACAAGGCATCATTTAGATTTCTAGATTTTGATTGTGTCCTTATGATTGTGACATTATTATTATCATTATTATTATTATTCTAGAGATTGAACTCAGGGCTTTGGACATGCTCACACAGGGCTACCTCCCCAGCCCCTAAAATTTGAAGCTATAACTAGACTACTCAAAAGCTATCATCATTTTATTTTTGTAATTTTGTAATTTATTGTGTTGAATAGGAAAACAAGTACAAATGAGCTCTATCATTCCTAACTTTTCTCATCTCTTTCCTCTGTAAGCAACTGTATATTTCTCTGTTTCCACTTCAGAATGGGCAATGAGACTTAACACCAAAGAGACAGCAGTTCAGCGGGATACTTTTTGGTTAAAAATGTTAGCAGAGATACAGCTGGTAAGACAAGGCTTGTTTCTTGTTTTCCAAATTCAGGGGACTTGGGTCTTCCATGATATCAGTGCAAGAGAGAGAAAGAGAGACTGGAGAGTGTGGGAATGGGGTCTTTGGAGAGATGCCCCAAATCTGCAGGGGAATCGAGTTCTTCAAGGACATGTTCCCACCTTAAAACTAGATAATGAGTTTTGTGGAGTCCTTCCTTCCTTCCTTCCTTCCTTCCTTCCTCCCTCCCTCCCTCCCTCCCTCCCTCCCTCCCTTCCATACATTAATGGTATAAGGGGGGTTCATTGTGACATTTCTATGCATGTGTATGATGAACCCTGAACAACCCCTCCCCCTCCCATTAATCCCCCTCATTCTTTTCTCCCTTCTTAAAACAATTTCAGGCTGGGAATGTGGCTTAATGGTAGAGTGCTTGTCTAGCATGCATGAAGCCCTGAGTTCAATTCCTCAGTATCATATAAACAGCAAAGCTGAAAGTGGTGCTGTGGCTCAAGTGGTAGAGTGCTAGCCTTGAGCAAAAGAAGCTCGGGGACAGTGCTCAGGCACTGAGTTCAGGCCCCAGGACTGGCAAAAAAAAAAATAGGGCATGCTTGAATTATGACCTGTAAAGAGCGAGACAATCCATCAAGCTACGGTTAAAGATAACATTTATTCACACGATTTATACCAGAAAGGGAGCCCTTGACTACCTTGTTCTCGGCTAGATACTCAGAACCAAGAGCAGCCTCAACCACCAAACTTCCAAGCCTCCAATGGGCAGCCTGACCTTTATTAGGTTGGTCTGCAAACCACCAATTAGTCGGTCTGTAAACCTCAGACCTCCAAAGGGGAAGGCTTTTGCCTTTCCTCCCTTCTTCCTTCTCTGCAGGCCTCTCCACTTTCCACAGGCCTGCCCTGCTCTGCTCTGGGAGGTGCCTCTCACAGAGAGGTGGTTATACCTTCCTCTTTAGAGGAAGGCCCCAAATGATCTCTGGAGGAGGCCCTGAATGACCTCTCCAGGCTGACCTCTACTGGCCTGTCCTGCTCTGCTCCTACAGGCTTTCCCCTCCTGCTGTCTCACCTCCCCCTACCTCCCTTTCACTCCACTCTGCTCTACTCCCCCTGTACTCTCTACTCTGTACTCTCCACTCCTCTCCAATGAGACTACTTCCCCATTGCTTGGAACATGTAGCCTATATATAGGCTGTGCCCTTCCCCCACTAATAGTTTCCAACCGCCATTCATGCTCTCCCCCGAAGCTGCCCACTGTCCAATCACTTCCGATAGGCAGCTCATGTGGGGCGTGACACCTCACCCTCTCCAGCAGCATGCCCACCCCCTTTCGCCCTGTGGGTCAGTGATGTCAGCCTCTTGATGGCCCACCCCCTCCAGCAGGCTGGGCCAACCCCGGGCCACGCTGATTATCACACTTGAAGGACCCACAAGAAATTCTCCTGGAGTAGAATGAGTGAGTACCATTATCATCACCATTACTACCCTCATCATCACCATCATAACATGTTTTACTCTGTTCCTTTTTCATGGACAGGCCCATAGCCAGGACAGAAAGGAGCTCTGTGACTTGAAGCCTCATGAGGAACTCATCAGAGAACACTTGGGTCCCCTGACGCATGGGAGTCCTCAAAATGGAGGGGCCACTGATGACTGCAGCCAGTGTGGACAAGACTTTCCTCCTCTGCATCAGGAAATGGGTGCACACCAACTCCCGGCATTCAGTCCATGTGGAAAAGACTCAAGTCTGACTTCGGGTGATGCTTACCAGGCACCAAGTGTGCAAGCCAGATCCCTCGGATGTGGTACCTTTGGGCCTGCCTTGGTTGGCCGGTTATACCTTCAGCCACCTGGGAGAGCTGGCAGTGACGATGGGCCCTTCCAGTGGGGAGAGCAGCCGGGGGCCTTGGCCCCGCCCATGAGCCACACTGCGAGTGCTCAGGCACACCCCGGGAAGCAACGCTACGAATGTAAGGAGTGCGGGAAAAGTTTTAAGTACGCTGCCAACCTTAATATCCACATGCGAATCCACACAGGGGAGAAGCCCTACCAGTGTAAGGAATGTGGGAAGGCATTTTCTCGGTGCTACCCACTAACTCAGCACTTAAAAACCCACACTGAAGAGAAGCCCTTTGAATGTCAAGTTTGTGGGAAGTGCTTTCGGAGTTCCTCCTGCCTCAACGATCACTTCCGCGTTCACACCGGATCAAAACCCTACAAATGTAAGGACTGCGGCAAAGCCTTCACAGGGCGCTCTGGCCTGAGCAAACACCTGCCTACCCACACTGGAGAGAAGCCTTACGAGTGCAAGGAGTGTGGGAAGGCCTTCACCTCCACCTCGGGCCTCATCAAACACATGAAAAGTCACACAGGAGAGCGGCCCTTTGAATGCGACCACTGCGGGAAGGCCTTTGCTTCCTCCTCCACCCTCATCACCCACCTGCGGACCCACACGGGAGAGAAGCCTTTTGAGTGCAAGGTGTGTGGGAAAGCCTTCACGTGTTCCTCCTACCTGCGCATCCACATGCGCACACACACCGGCGAGAAGCCCTACTCGTGCAAGGAGTGTGGCAAGGCCTTCACGGAGCGCACGAGTCTCACGAAGCACTTGCGCACTCACACGGGAGAGAACCCCTTCGAGTGCCATGTGTGCGGGAAAGCATTTGCATGTACCTCCTACCTCCACAACCACATCCGGACTCATACTGGGGAGAAACCTTACGTGTGTAAGGAATGCGGGAAAGCCTTCACGGTCTCCTCACACCTGAGTAAGCACGTGAGAATTCACACCGGGGAAAAGCCTCATAAATGTGAGCAGTGTGGGAAAGCCTTCACAGTGCGCTCAGGCCTCACAAAACACACACGAACTCACACGGGAGAGAAGCCCTACACGTGTCAGGAGTGTGGGAAGGCCTTCACCACCTCCTCCGGTCTCATGGAACACATAAGAAGCCACACGGGAGAGAAGCCCTACGAGTGTGACCAGTGTGGGAAGGCCTTTGCGTCATCATCCTATCTGATCGCCCATCTGAGGATCCACACGGGAGAGAAGCCCTTTGAGTGCAGCACGTGTGGGAAAGCCTTCACATGCTCCCCCTACCTGCACATCCACATGCGCACGCACACGGGGGAGAAGCCCTACGCGTGCAAGGACTGTGGCAGGGCCTTCGCTGTTTACTCTCACCTCAGTAAACATGCGCGGACTCACAGTGCAGAAAGATGTCAGCCAGGTGAGGATTTGGGGCCAGCTCGGGGTGCTGCTTCCCCTCTGGCAGGATGTGTAACCACGCTGGAGGGGAGCCCTTTGGGTGGAAAGAATGAGGACACGGCTTTAGGAAGTCCTTTTGCCCTGACAATGCATTCTGATTCACAGTGGCCAGAGAGCTTGTCAGTGTAAGCCATTCTGCAGTATCCTCAGGCTCCCATCACTGCAGGGTCCCCAGGAGAACCTGTTCTCTGCCTGTCCCAGGACCTGAAGGAGTGTGGAAAAGCTGAGTCTGTTCACAGTCCATGTGACAAGCACACATCTTTCAGCTGTGCCATGTCAGGAATGGAAAGCCCTACCTGTTTCTTGAGAGCTGAAGAAACACATGGTATCTTCCATTGAAGAGAAAGCTACTGATGGAGAATGGCCAAGGTGTAGTTCTGCATAGTTCTTTGATGGTTGACTGAGAAAGTCCTTATGAAAGGATGCAATGTGGGGAAGTCACTTTTTTATTTTCCAGTTTTAACATCATTCCTTAATAAATAGGCAAGGATTCTCACCAAGAGAAAGTGAACGAAATCCTGAGTCCTTTAAGCTGACAGACATGGCTTCACTGATGGCTTTATAAATGTATTTTGATTACCTGCACTTTCAATATTTGAAATGTTTTGAAAATATGTATTTGTGACCAGTTTGAAAATGTAATTTCTTATTCTCTTTAGCTTTTCTTTCATCTTTACCAAGGTGTGACTGAAGACTAAAATTATAGAGGGTACAGTCTGATGTGGTATATATTACTAGTCAGGATAATTATCCATGATAATTGAACTAGGGTATACTATCTGATGTGGAATGAATTGTACACACACACACACGCACACACACACACACACACAGTCTGACGTGGTATATATTACTAGTCAGGATAATTATCCATGATAATTGAACTAGGGTATACTATCTGATGTGGAATGAATTATACACACACACACACACACACACACACACACACACCATCCTAAAATGATTACTAGAGTCAGGATAATTGAAGTATCATATATGTGATATGGTGGCCAATTAGTTTTGGGGTTGTAAAATACTTTCCACTGTCTTAGCAGATTCAGATATACAGGATGTTGTTATTGACTGACCTCATTCTACCCACCCCAACACACACACAATTTTTTCTTTTTGGCCAGTCCTGGGGCTTGAACTCAGGGCCTGGGCATTGTCCCTGAGCTTCTTTTTCTCAAGGCTAGCACTCTAACACTTGAGCCACAACATCACTTCAAGCTTTTTCTGTGTATGTGGCACTGAGGAATTGAACCCAGGGCTTCATACATGCTAGGCAAGCACTCTACCACTAAGCCACATTCCCAGCCCCCCCAATTATATTTTTCATTTGGTGAGATTGACTATTTTTTGCCAGTACTGGGGCTTTGAACTCAGAGTCTAGGTACTGTCTCTTATCTTTTTCACTCATGGCTAGCATTCTACCACTTGAGCCACAGCCTCACTTCTGGTCTTTTTTTTTTTTTTGGGTGATTCATTGAATAGTCTCACAGACTTTCCTACCCAGACTGGCTTTGAGCCACTATCCTCAGATCTCTGCCTCCTGAGTACCTAGAATTACAGTTGTGAGCCACTGGTGCCTGGCTAAGATTTGTCTTTTAAATTCCAGATTTAAGAACAATCATGGTTGTGTCTGGCTTGTTTCACCTAGCATGATGTCCTCTGGGTTCATCTCTGGTGTTCCCAATGGCAGAATTTCCATCTCTTTTAAGGATAAATATTATATAATTTATGTATATGATGTAACCCATAATTATATGTATGGTTTACCAATATTTTTTTCCATTCCACATGTTGCCCTTTTCATGTATGTGTGTTTTCATGTTATGGTTTTTTTTTTTTTTTGGGGTCCGGTCATGGGTCCTGAACTCTGGGCCTGGATGCTGTCCGTCAGCTCTTCTGCTCAAGGCTAGCGCTCTACCACTTGAGCCACAGCGCCACTTCTGGCTTTTTTCTTTTTGCTTATGTGGTACTGAGGAATCGAACCCA